AGAGTCTTCATTCATAAACACCCAGAACACCAGAGTCAGAAGAACTCCAAGAGATTAATTAAGCAGCTATAATTTAATGAATTTAATTTAACTTGTAGTCAAATGACCTGGGTTCAAAGTGTGGTAGTAGAGAGTGATAGACTTGTAGCTTTGAAAACCTGAATTCTAAGGCTGCCTCAGATACGTATTGTGTGATCCTGGACAAGTCACTTAATGCTTCTCAACCTCAACCTTCCTTATCTGTAAAATGGGGATAATAATAGCACCTATATTACAGGGTGATTTGGAGAAGGAAATGGCAAACCACTCCAGTATCTTTGCCAATAAAACCCCAAATGAAGTCACAAAGAGTTGGACAGGACCAAAACGGCTGAACGACAACAATAACAACAACAACAAATTTTACAGGGCAGTTATCAGCATCAAATGAGATAATAGGCATGAAACCCCTGCAAACTTTTTTTTTTAGGCAATTGGGGTTAAGTGACTTGCCCAGGGTCACATAGCTAGTATGTGTCAAGTGTTTGGTCTGAGGCCACATTTGAACTCAGGGCTTCCTGACTTCAGGGCTGGTGCTCTATCCATTGTGCCACCTAGCTGCCCCCCCCTGCAAACTTTAAAGCTAGCCACTTTTAAATTCTAGCTCTGACATTTACTATCTTTGTGATCTTGTGAAAATGACTTTATTTCTCTGGGTCTCAGTTTCCTTATCTGTAAAATGAGGAGGTTGGATTAGATGACATGTAAGGTCTCTTCAAGTTCTAAATCTATGATCCTATGAATCTAGTTCCTCTCTTCCTCTTATTTTAAAGATGAGGAAATGGAAGCACAGACATATTTCCAATTTCGGGGGACCTGTAACACTCTGAGCAGGAATTCTTTTACCACTGTTGTTGTTCGGTTGTTGTTTTTTTTCCAGGCAAGTCCAACTCTTTGTGACCCCTTTTGGGGTTTTCTTGGCAAAGATACTAGAGTAGTTGGCTATTTCCTTCTCCTGCTCATTTTACAGTTGAGGAAACTGAGGCAGAGTTAAGTGACTTAACCTGGGTCATACAGTCCACAAGTGTGAGGTCATATTTAAACTCAGGTCTTCCTGACTTCCAGCTCAGCTCTCTATCCACTGTACCACCTAACTGCCTCTCCTCTGCCATTATCCCACCCCTATACACACATACACCTAAGTGGTATATACTTGTAATTGGTATTGGTATAGATGATTTGTGACCTAGGTGATTCATTGTAATTTCATGGGCATCAATAATTTCCAGATAAGGAAATTCCCTCTACCAATAAAGATTAGCACCTTCTCTGCAAGTTATATAGTATTAGATTTATCTAGGACGTTGGGCAGTTAAGTGTCCATCTACTATGCCATCAGTGCCATATATTTAATACTTTTTAAATTATCTTTAGACAGAAGTGTCAAATACTGGCCCCCAACACTCCTGAGTTTGGCCTGAATCACATCAGACCACATTGGGAAATATTCAACAAAATAAATAAAAAAAAATAAGACATAGATAATGTTAATCTGGTTTTCTTAATCAATATGCATCTGAAGGGATCCTTATGTACAGTTTAGTGATCCCTCTTTCTATTGAGTTTGAAAGCAATGCCTTAATAAATCCATGATGTGGGTCCTCCCTCCATTAGTGCAGATGGCAACTCATACCCACATATTCTTTGTGAACCAGGGGAAAGCCTCCAGCAAATTGGGCAGATCTTTTATGGAGACTTCACGAAAGAGCAGAGACAAGAATCACACTTCTTGAAGAAATGACTTAAAAGTACTATTGTGGGGGAGCATTTTTTAAAATTCCAAGATATCACATGAGGATATTGGAATCACACCAGGGTACTGGGAGACAACAAAGAAAGAAAACAACATTGAACAAGTAACCTGAGACTAGTCCAGACTCTTGTGCTGGTAGCCAATGGGCACTGTAGGGGAGGCCCCACCCCACCTGGTACCAAACCCAACCTCAGGAATGTAACATGCCAAATAATTCAGTGCCTTTGGCTGTCTACGGTGTTTCCTGCTCTAGGTTAGGTTTTTTTCCCCTCATGTTCAGAGAACCATCACAGGGCATCATTTTCCTGTCTCTTGGGCACAGGATTCAACTGAAGCCCAATTCTCTTATTTTTCCCACTTTTCTAAAACCAAGAGGTGTGAATAGGACTTTTTAGCCCAGTGGAGTACAATGGAAAGCTCAATGGCTTTGGAAATAGAGAACGTGGGTTCAAATCCCACTTCTGAAACTACCTGTATGACCTGTATGACACTAACTGTATGTCCAGTCTCTTTATTTGGAAAATGAGTAGGTTGGACCAGACAGTCCCTGAGGTACCTTTCAGGTCTAAAGCTAGGATCCTAAAAACATAAGAGGTACTAAGCCAGAACAGAGAAAGGCAAGTTCCAAATGAAATACATGTCCAAGATAGCTCCTGTGTGCATTAAATCTGTTTGCCTTGGGGGTTAGCAATACCCTAAAAGGCAAATCCAAAAAAGAGACGGAAATCTTTCCCAAGTGCTTGATAACAGATAGACTGACTTAGGAAAAAGATCCTATGTAATTGATCAAGCATCCTCCAAGACGCTGGGGGAACTTGGCCAAGCACTAAACCCAGAAATCTTTTAGCTTCTAGGTAGAGGATGATGTCATAAAGGAGCAGAGTTTCTAGGCCGGTTTCTAAAAGACTTAGCTGAAGCTGGGAACCAAGGCTGATTGTTTTACAGATTGATGGGGAGGAAAGGCAAAGAAAGGAACAATGGAAGTGTGGCGATTTTACCCAGTTCAGACCAGGGGAAAAAAACAACAACAGGGAAAAGAATTGTAGTGGTCAGGTTGATCCGAATACCCACAAAGTCCAAAGAAGCAATTACAAGGCCAGAGGTCAGTCCACACATCCACACCAGGAGTGGCTATTATTTGATTTTTTTAAAAGAGACAATTCACTTTGAAGCTGGAATTATAGGGCTAAAATCTATTTAAAGATGCCACAGGTCCAGGAAGTAGATACTCACTACCCTTTGAGGGCAGAGATTGCTGAGGTTTTTGACAGCAGTATTCACAAGGCTTTAGTAATAAGCCTAGCTCATAGTAGGCTCTTAAATAAATGTTCCCTGAATTGAATTGAATTAGCTAAGGACCAAATTACTTCTGTAGCCAATAATAGCACAGTACAATCTTTATTCCAAAAAGCTCAATGCACATTCACCTACCTTTTCCTCTCAGAATCTTACACAAATTTAAAAGCACTCTCGTTAAAAACATAGGTATCATATACATGTAGGCAAAAAATTTATACATTCACTCAGAAAACATAGCTAAATTTATTCAGCCAACGCCCTTCTTCTCTAGTCTATAGCCCATTGTTTCTACTTCTTTGTCAGTCTCTCTCTCTCTCTCTCTCTCTCTCTCTCTCTCTCTCTCTCTCTCTCTCTCTCTCTCTCTCTCTCTCTCCCACTCTCCCCCCCAACTTAATGCAATGTGTGTTATCCTCTTTTTAAAATTCCTAGATAGTATCTATTCCATTGCTACTATGTTTCATGCTGATGCCAGACCATTGTCCTTCACGGTGATGATGGAACCTGTAGATTGATGATAGAACCTGTAGCCCCTTCCACTCCATCTGTCCCTGTTCAAATCAAGTAGAGTCCACCTATAAGGCTTCCAATCTCAGGCTATTCCTAATCCTGTCTCAAATATATCCAAGAGGTTCTTGCTACTGAATACTGGGATGATAGATGATTGATAGACAGATAGACATGTTTATATACACACATACATACATATACATACACACACACACATACACATAGATACATATACACATATATATGGCGGGGTAGTATTTGAAGATCTTTAGAGTTTCCACATTCAGACCCAGGAGGACACCGCCCACCTTCCCCTAATCTCCAAACTTTATATGCTCCTTTACCAACCACACTGTGCAACCTTCACATTGCAACAACATAGGGCAAAGGAAAGAGCATCCAGTTGAGAGCCTAAGGACCAGGACTCTGGTTCTAGTTCTGTCACTGCCTCGTTGTGGGACCTTGATCAAGTCACTTCCTTTCTCTAGATCTCGGTTTCCTCCTCTCTAAAACACTATGACTAAACCAGACAATCTGACTGGTCCCTCCCAGCTCTTAGCATTCTACGAATCTATGTTTCCAAGGATCAGCCTCATTTTATAGATGCGGAAATTAGTTGCTGGACAGGTTTCTACTTTAAACAAAATCAAAAGTGGTGAATCTGTCTTTTCTTTTTGGGAAAGCCAGTATCTCACTGCCGGCCAGCTCCTTCATAACAGTGGGTTGAGTCCTCCAAAACCCTAAGGAACCAAACTTTCTGTAGACAGGGGAAACTTGCTGTCCTGAGAGTCCCTAGACAATAAAGACCTATGAAAGCTAACTCGCATCTGCTCTGGACAACAGCCTTATGTATACTCTCCCTCGGCAGACAGAGCGATATCAGGGGCGGCCCCCGCCCCTTTTTCTTCCCTTTCTTTCTTTAAAATAATGACAATGATGTTAAAAAACAGTGCCAGTCCGAGCCCAAGCCAAACTTCTTGTGTAACGTTCAGCACACGAGCAGCAAAACAAAAGGCCACTCACCGCCGGAGAGGCAGAGAGATAACGAGGGACGCAAACCGAGGGCAGAGGGCAGGCGAAGTTTTAAATCCCTGAAGGAAAAGCCTTTGGTATTTTCTACAGCCCCCCCTACAGCAGCAGCTCCGGGAACAGCCGGCCAGCCCGACGTGTGCACCGTTTTTTCTTACATCTCGGCTGGGCTGGCTCCCTCACCACTGGAGAGGGCTGACCAGCCACCCGTGAGAGGTGGAAGAAAAGGGAGCAATCACATTGGATCCAGGGGTGGCCAGTCCAGCTGCCAGAGGCGCGGGAGGGGAGAGAAGGGAAGGGAAGACAAGGGAGGGCAGGGGGCTCCCCGGGAAAGGACAACGTCGCTCGCTCGCTCGCCCGCCCGCTCACTCACATAATGCTTGTTGGGCACTCGCCGCTTCTGCACGTCCAGGACTTTCACCTCCACGATACTCCGCCGGGGCATGGCTCCCTCGGTCCGGACCGGCCCCCGGGACAAAGCACCGATTGCCCCCGGTCCACCTCCTCGGGCGGCCGTGCACGGGCGGGAGCGGGAGCTGGAGCTGAAGCTGGAGCTGGAGCTGGGCACGGCGCGCGGGGAAGAGCTCAGCTCGGCGCACTGACCACATGCGAGGCTCCGCCGGGCCCAGGGAAACTGGAAGGAGCCCAGGAGGCGACGCGAGTGGCTCTCAGGCTGCCGCTAGCCAGGAGAGAAGGAGCAGCAGCGGCAGCCAGTGGCCGCGGGCCCCAGCCCCCCGCCCCCGCCGCCCCCGCGCTAGCTCTGCCCTCCCCTGCGCTGCCCAGCCCAGCCGAGCCCTCCCCGCCACCACAGTCCTCTCCGGCTCCAGCGCGCTCTCCCCTCCTCTCCCTCCTCCTCTCCCTCTCCCTCTCCCTGTCCCGAGGCTGCTGATGGAGGACGGCTCCAGCCCTCCCTCGCTAGCCGATTAGCCTATCCCACCCCGGCGAGGCTGTAAGTTACGAGCTCAGAGCCAGCCCAGCTCTTAAAGGGGCCGGCTAGGCGCCTGCTGCTGCAAGACCCAGAGGAAGAAGTGGAGTCCCAGGCTCTGCAGCCGCCCCGCCCCCTCCCATCACGACCTGGCTTGGACTGACTCCTCGCTCACTGGATCTCTTCTTTTACACCTCAGCACCACTGGCCCCCCTCAGTCCGCACTGTCCCGCCTCTTTCCCAGAACAAGAGTCTCGGCCACCTGGGCTCCACTATTATGGTGGGGCTAGGCCGGGGGTAGAAGCTCGCTTCTCCCTCAAGGCAAGAGGAGAGCCATCCCCCTAAGCCCCCCCCAAGATGTGCACCCCGCACCTACACACTCCCTTGGTCCCCACGCACTATCCTCGTTGCATGTGCCACCCCTCGAGGGTGAAGCAGTTAAATGGCTCCCAGATTAACTGGACTTGAAAAAGGCGGGGGAGGGGGGAGTGTAGGGGGGCAAGTGGAGAAACTCAGGTCTGTTAGGCAAAGTCTTCTGGAGTAAACTTTGGGGGGGCTGTTTTAAATAGAGCCTCCTGGCTCTGAGGTTAGGGTTCCCAGACACCTCTTAGTCCAAGAATCCTTGGAAATGGAAAGGCCTTCTTGAGGGTCAAATCTGGATGACAGAGTTGTTTGGGTGAGTTTGGTCCCGGGACCCATTGTACCTTTCCCTCAGGCCTCTCTCTGTGCTCACAACTCTTACTGGGGGCCTGTTGTCCCTGGGAAAAGAAAGCTCTACTAGCCTGCCCTTTCCCCCTCCCCCACTTTCCACAGTTGGTGGTAAAAAAGATTTCATATTCTAAATTGAAAATGACTACCACACAGAGGGCAATGGCGAGGCAAGTAATGGGTATGAGCAGGCTGCAGTGTATAATCAATAAGGAACTTCAAAGGAGAACTGGAGTAAGATGTCATCAGGGAAATGTGTAATGGGAAGAGATGGGTGAGTTGGATAGTGAGGGGTGACAGATGAACAGCCAGTGTGCTCCACTGGTACCCTCCTGATATCAGGAGAAAGTGAGGAAAGTCTTTAGTATGTTGGGGAAATTCTTTGTGGCAGACACAGGGGAGGACATGGACAAGAGATGGCACAGGATGGCCATGTGTTCTGGTTTGCATCCTTGATAGAAATGAGATCATAAGTCCATTAGGATATTTGAATATCCACACTTGCCTTTACTTTATTCTAACACTCTGGGGTTCAGCTCTGGCATTTCAAAGGCACTGGCATTTCCGATAACTATTGTTGTTATTTGTCCTTCGTTCTCAAAGAGGACCATGACATCAGGAAGATGATGCCATGACTTGCAAAAGAATTGGATTTAAGTGAGGAAGGGCTGTGCAAGGTCACCAGCCTTACTTTCTCCTCCAGTGCCACCTGGGTCCAGTGGCCAGATACAGATCAGGATGACTGGGATGGCTCCCTCTGATAACTAAGTGCTCTAGGACTCAGTTTCTCCACCTCTAAAATGTAATGATTGGACTAAATGATCTCTAAAATTCCTTCCAGTTTTAAACTCCTGAAGAACTAACTCTCTGATCTCTAATCCTTAGAAATTGAGGGGCTGCTGCTAGATTAATCTGTTATGTCTTTTAGGTAATAAAATATATTCACATTTTCTGAATACAATCCTGTGAGTGAAAGAATTGTTCAAAAGATTCACCTTAAATACATGGTAGGTTGGAGGAAAATATATTTGGGCAAGGGGACCTTTTAGAACTCCTCAAATCTCTATGAAGTTGCCCACCTATGCAGCCATTGAGTATGGACCAGGGCTCTTTTGGGTCCTTGAAATTGCCCAGTATGCTAAACATTCTGCTTTTTCGGCAAAGTTCACCGTTTTTACTTGTATTCTTCCTAGCACCAGCCAAGCCCTTGCTAAAGAGGCAGGGCTTTCTTTGTCTATCAGAGGTGGGGAACCTTTGGCCTTGAGGCCATATGTGACCTTCTAGGTCCTCAAGTACAGCCCTTTGACTGAATCCAAATTTCACAGAACAGTAAAATTTGGATTCAGTCAAAGGGCTGAATGTAAGGTCCTAAAGGGCCACATGTGGCCTTGAGGCCAAAGGTCCCCCATGTCTGGTAGATATTAATCCCCCAAAAGGCTGCAAGCTTCAGGAAAATTGGTCTTTTAAAATGTCGCCTAGTATTGTGCACAATGCTGTTCACACAGTAAGTCCTTACTAGATACTGGCTGAGTTATAGTGAATTCCTCTTACGGGAAACCTTTGCTCATTCCTTTAGTTATTTGAGTTCTTGCCCTTAGATGATCATATGTGAATGTTCTAGATCCCTGTAAAATGTGAGGTCCATAAGAGCAAGGCCATTTAGGCTCCTGGCACCTAGCCTAGTACCTGTAGTACCTTACACATTTTTAGAGGAGAGGGGTGGTCTTGATATGTGATTTCATTGGCAGATGCAACTCCTGGCAAGAAAGCTCCTGCTGCCCATGCATGTGGACAACTGCTCTGCAACTTATTTTAGATCAAAGGGCTCTTAACAGGGAGTCCATGGAAAGGTATCAGGTAGTTAGTGAACTTGAACAGGAAAAAAGTTACATCTTTTTTCATTATAACTGACTCCCTTTGTAATCCTATGTAATTTATTTTATGCATTAAAAAACTTGATTCTGCAAAGGGGGTGGTCTATAGGCCTCACCAGACTTCCCAACTAGTACATGACACACCGAAAAGTTAAGAACCTCTGTTTTAGAGTGGTGGCTAGTGCACCAACAAGTTAAATGACTTGTCCAGGATCACATACAGTTTCAGAGATGAATCTTGAACCCAGATCACCCTGATGTGAGGGTAACTCTCTATCCACTACAACATATTGTCTCTGGGTGAAAGAAGCAGTTATTGCTTAAGGACTTAAGACTTGTTAAGGACTGAAGTTGCAAATAAAAAGGCAAAGCAGTTCCTGATCTCAGGGAGCTCACATTTTAATAAAGGGAGATGACATATAGAGGAGGTTTCAAATGCAAGTCAAATGGAAAGGCTCAGTAATCATTAGGCAAGCAGATGGCAATGCATCCTCTTTTAAAGTTTGAATCGAATTGAATTGGGGGTCAGCCAAACTTTTAGTTCCCAACCTTTAGCAGAAGATGCTGAAATATATGCATCCTCAAGAATCATGGGATCTAAAGCTGGAAAGAACCTTAGAACAGTTCATTCCCCTTATATTACAGGTGAGGAAATAATGGCCCCAGAGATGTGAGTGTTGACTTTAAGGCAATGCATACAGGAAGAAAGCTGGATTTTGAACCCACATCTTCTGCAGTGCTCAGGTCACTGTGTCATACTTTGTCTTCCCAATATACTTGTATTTTCTCCTGTATCAGAATGTTAGCTTTGGTATAGAAGAAATAGAGCTGAATGGAGATCTAAGTTCTGATTCCAACCCATCACTAACCAGCTGTGTGATCTTCACTTTGGTTAAATGGCAACAGTAGATGAGATGATATCTGAGGTAGCTTAGTGGTATAACAGAATGCTCATCCTGGAGGCAGGAAGACCTGTATCCACATTTAGCCTCAGATACTAGCCGTGTGACCCCCAGGTAAGTCACTTTAAAAAAAACCAAACAAACAAACAAAAGAAACCTCCATCTGCCTCAGTTTCCTCAACTGTAAAATGGGGATCATAATAGTACCTACCTTCTGGGACTGTTTCGAACATCTAGATGCTTAATAAATGCTTATTTTCTTCTTTCTAGCTTGGAAGTTCTGTGGTTCGATATATATATTTAGAATACTCATTGTCTAACTGCTTATTGGCATCACCCTTACGTTAATAATGTTTGTACCTCCTCTAGCTGTTCTTGAACATTTTTCTTTAATAAATTTATTCAGTAAAAATTTTAATTCATTATATCCCATTATATAATTACTTTATCCATTCCATCTAATTTCTTCTTCTTGGGCCAGTTGCTCATTGCTGGCATCCTGGTGGTCATGCCTTGTCTGACTCTTAGTCACACCCTTAGTTCTTGTCCTCACTTCTGGGGATCACAATGTCTTAGGGACTGCAATCAGTCATATCCTCTCAGATTCTCTCTTTAATTCTCTTCTTCTGTCTTTCTTTCTTTCTTCCTTTCTTCTTTCTTTCTTTCTTTCTCTCTTCCTTTCTTCCTTCTTTTCTTCCTTTTCTTTCCTTCTTTCTTTCTTTCTTTCTTTCTTTCTTTCTTTCTTTCTTTTCTTTCTTTCTTTCTTTCTTTCTTTTCTTTCTTTCTTTCTATCTTCCTTCCTTCCTTCCTTTCCTTCCTTCCTTTCCTTCCTTCCTTCTTTCCTATTTAGAGGCAGAAGACAGGGAAGGGAAACAATTATGACTGGGCTTTTCATTTTTTGCTTGACTTCTTGACCCTTTGACCCTCTGACTTTCTTCCAGTAATGCATTTCCAGTGGAAAACCTAACTGTTTTTGAGTCTAGAATCTAACCCTAACAGAATTGAAACTCTTTTCCTTTCCTTAATCTTCACATGGACAAGAAAGCATCCACCTGTAAATTCTAAGGATGACTCCCAACCTAACTATAGAAGTCTGTAGCTTTTATTGGTTTCATGCTCCAAATATTTCTCTTCCTTATATCCATGGTTACTTCATTACTTCAGAAGACAATCTGATGAGGTAAATAAAGCAGGTATTATTATTCCTATCTTATTGATAAAGAAAAGCAGATACAGAGAAATTGAATATTTTACCCAAGATGTTAACCAAAGTTTTGCCCTACCCGTAACTAATATAAGCACTGCTCCAAATCTGAATTCT